TTCCGAGGAGTGGCTGGTGGATTTGAACCGCCAGCCTTCTGGTTAGCAGTCAAGTGCCTTAGCCACTATGCTACCAGAGCTCCCTACTTACTCATTAATCTATTTCCAACTGGAAAAGTGACCAAGTTTGGTAACTTGGCCCAAGACATGCTGTATGTAACTATTTCTCTGCCTTCTAACCTGGGGAAGAAGCAGGGGAGTGTGAAAGCAAGCTCCAATGTCACTCCTGTGAGTTGGGAGACAGAGAGGCGTGGAGGAGCTGGGCTGCGAACTAACCAGACCAGAGCTGATTATGCACTGGGGGTAGAAGGGAAGGGGGGCCTTGGTACAGCCGGCTTCACTCCTCATATTTGGCAAGCCTGCGCGGGTAGATCTCAGAGCCCATTTGCTGACAGACAGATGCTTCATTGGCCCCAGGGAAGCCACCCCATCCCTCATCCCCCCCCCAAGGACGCTAATGAGAAGGGATATGAGGGATCCATGGCTGGTACCCACGGGGCAGCACCTCCAGTGCTCTGACTGAATTTCCTCAGGCATTTGCCCTCTTCCAGCCTCTCCAGCTGGGTAAGACCAGGCCAGTTGCCGGTGACCCTGGGCAACACCTGAAAGCAGGTGCCTCTTGCCTCAAGCTGGCAGGGTCTCGGATCTGTCAGTTGACTGACTTGGTGCTGGCACCCACCCCAGTGCCCTCACACTCAGCCTGGGTCATAAATCAACTAGCAAGCTCCCTTCCCTCTCCCTACTCCTCTTCCAACCTCCATCTCTCCTGTGGTTGGGAGCTGGGTGTCTGGTGCCAGACTGCTGGCTTTGAATCCTAGCGGGGCAAGTCACTTGACTTTTCTGGACCTCATCTTTTCATCTGTAGAATGGAGATCAGTCTTCAGTATTTTACATGTAGTGTTATTGTTAACCTCTTATTTTTAACCTCACCTCCCTTTAGCCCCACCCACATCCTCCTCCACCACCTTCCTTCCCATCAGCCTGGCCCCTTCCTCTTCATTTCAGAAGAGAACCACTACTTTTGAGGGTGCTTCATTCTCTCAGGGACGATTTTCAGCCTGGTTCTCTTTTCTGTGCTCAGTGCCAGAGAACAGATATGAGCAGACACTATGCCTTGCTGGTTGGGGAGGCAGAAAGCAAATACACAAAATGCTAGGAAGGTGGGAGAATTAGGAGTGCTTAATAAAGGAGGTAAGGAGCTCTAGTGGCTCAGTGCCTAAGGCATTTGACTGCTAACTGGAAGGTTGGCGGTTCAAACCACCAGGCGCTCCGAGGAAGGAAGATGGGGAAATCTATCATAAACATGTACTGCCTTGGAAACCCAATGGGGGTCACTATGAGCCAGAATTGACTCAATGGCAGTGGGTTTGGGTTGTTTTTTTGTTTTTTTTTTGGTTTAATGGAGGAGGTAGCATTTGAATTGGATGTTGAAGAATGTGTAGGAGTTTGGCAATATGAGAGAGGAAGGGCACTTTGAATAGAAGGAACAGTGAGAGCAAGGCTTGGAGACTGGGAATGTATGATGTTTGCAGCTTGGTGAAAAGACAAGTTGGGTGTAAGCAAAAGCTACAGAGGGAGCTGCAAAGGGCAGGAAGGCTGGAAAGAGCAGCTCTTTCTATATCTGACTCTTGGTTCCTGTTGCAGGCCTGTCTGCCTTCTGGGCTGTGGCATCAGTAGAATTAGTGTCACCCCCCTGTGGGCGGGGCCAGACAAGTTACCACACTAGGTGACAGGTGACACCCACTGTAGTGACACCACTGCGTTGGTGGCCCTCCAACTGTAGCACCGACTTACCTCCACTGCTGCAGACCCTGCAGTTATTTTGGTGTCACCTCTGACAGTGTCAAGGGGTGCATATGCACCTCCAGTGCCACCAAGTGCCACCACTGCTCCTGGGCAAGCTTTCATGGAAGGGAGCTGTCCTAGGCCAGATCTGGAGTCCTGCAGTTGAGGCCCATCTCTGTCCCCAGGGAAGTTCCCTTGGAGAGGGGTAGCCTGCTGGCCAGCACTGTCCACAGCCTCTCATAAGACCTCTTTAGTGCTGTGGGGACTTCAGCCAAAAGGCAAACCAGCAGGCCTGCCTGGCCCACCCCATAGCCCACCAGAGTATGTCATAGATGGGGGACCCTGAAAGCCACCTCTACATTTTATAAGTGCTGCCACTAAGACTCGGAGAGAAGACACCTGACTCCACTTACACAACTTGGTGGCAGAGTTAGGAGCTTCTTGACTCCCAGAGTGTCATCTCTCTGGCCAGGCCCATGTAACCCCTGAGTCCTCACAGCTGGAGGGCTCTAAGCCCAATACTTCTGGTCTCTCTCCCCTACCTCAGTCCTTAACTATCCCTGGGGAGCACAGAAGAGGGCATGGGGCTTCCAAAGCAGTGGAGAGACCTCTGCTTTTGATGAGAGCCAGACAGGGACCTCATGAGCTCCTGAGTGGGGAGGACCATAAAGAAAGCAGTGTTGACGTCTGGAAAGGAAGTGCAGGAGGGCAGGAGCAGGAAGAGGCTGCACGCAGTGAGGTGGGGAGGAGACAGCTGCCCGGGTTGAAGAGAGAGGACTCCAGGCTCAGTAGGGTTGGTGAAGGGGAAAGAGGGGAATCTGAGGATGGGGCAAAGAGAGGTGCCAAGGGCTTGTGTTAAGATAGGAGGTGGCCTTCATTTCCATTTCCTCTGTACAAGGGGGTGTGGGAACAACTTAGACCGATGATTCTATGGTAGCTGTTACACTAATACTAATAGTTAACCTTCATTGAGAGCTTGCCCATCTAAGGGTTCAATAGTCCTTAATTCATTCAATCTTCACAAAAATCCTCTAAGTGCTGTTATTATACCCATTCTACAGAAAGACAAACTGAAGCACTGAGAACTCAAGTCACTTGCCCAAGATCACTCAGAAACTAACTGGGAGAGGTGGAATGTGAACCCAAGCAGTCTGCACATTGAAGTGCTGTGCTATGCTACCTCCCATGCATTCAACCACAGATATTTATTGAGTGCCACCTACATACCTGGCATTATCCTGGGCAATGGGAACACGGCACAAAGTCCCTGCTGCCATAGAGCTTCATTCCCCGAGCCCATGGAGTATACCTTCTGGAAGCCCACTCCACGCAGCCCTGGGCTCTTCAAGGCAAAGTAGATATAGGTGAAGGCAGAGGGCCGGAGGTCGAGTGGTGCTGGTGCTGGAAGGAGTAAGGAGACATGCTCAACCTGCTAGTAAGCCATGGAGCTTGGAGGGGCAGGGGGCCCATGAGACCCTCCCTACCCAGCCTGCCAAGTTGTGGGATTGTGAAAGACTGTTCTCATCACACCGAACTCTCTCGAGACACAAGCACTAAACAGGAGTCAGGGTCCCAGCCTTCTCCACTTCCAGTTAGAACCCACTGTGTGGGCAGGCCTCAGCGCCCCAGCAGGGCTCTGGGCAGCAGTGCCTGGCTTGGATGAGCCTGGGGCATAGTGGTTCCTGAGATCCCTGACAGCTCTAATCAGCTGCCTCTCTGCCTCTCTCCCACCACTCTGGTCCCATGACCAAGACTGTTAATACGTGCGTGCGGAAGAGAGAACCAGTGCCCCGACCTCATCTCCTCTAAGGACCTGAAGATCATCGGATTACAGCCTTCTAGAGACAGGCCCTCTCTGATGTATGCTCATGCCCTACAACCTGTCCAGGTCCCTTAGTTCCTGCAGGAGGAAAACCAATCCTGTATGGTGCACAGGCCCTTGCCGAGCTGGCCCATCTGTCCCTCTGCCTCTGCACCTGCTCCAGGCCCCCAGCACTGCAGTGTGAGGTTGAGAGAAAGGCACTTCCTGCCTGTAGAAGGTGGAAGGGGGATAATAACAGCACTTAAAGGATTTTTGAGAATTGAATGAATTAAGAACTATTAAACCCTTAACCAGGCCCACCTCTTTCTCTTTCCTCCTTCACCAGCCTGTTCTCTCTACCTGGAATTCACCTCTTCCCACCTGGGGGAACTCACTCACCAGACAAGGCCCAGGTTAAGTGTCCCCTCTTTGAAAGTCTTCTGTAATTCCTCTTCTCTGAGCTTCATGAGGGTAGGGAGGGTATATGAGGTCTTCAGTTCTCTGTTTCCCACCTACTACCATCAAGTCAATTCCAACTCATAGCAACCCCCATTGGGTTTCCAAGACTGTAAATCTTTATGGAAGTAAACTGCTTCATCTTCCTCCCAGAGCAACTGCTGGCTTTGAACCACTGATCTTGTGGTTAGCAACCAAATGCCTTACCTACTGTGCCACCAGAGCTCCTTCTCTGTCCCCAGCACCTGCCATAATAATTGTATGAAATAAGTATTCCAAAAGTACTCGTTGAATCAGTGCATGAGTCATGCACCTAGATGGTTCTAGATGGACCTACATCCGTGGCTTGGGGATTTTGTAGAAGAGTCTAGGTAGAGGGTTTTCAAGCTGTAACCTTTCAGAAGCAGATTGCCTGGCCTTTCTTCTGAGGCTTTGCTAGGTGGGTTGAAACCGCCAGCCCTTATTAGTAGTCCAGCACTTAACTGTTTATGCCACTTGAGAATAGCTATTATTTCTTGTACATTTACCATGTGCTAAGCATGTGTTAAGTACCTTACGTACACTGTTTTATTTGACATTCATGACAGCTCTGTGAGGTAGTTTACAGATGAGAAAGTTGAGACTCAGTAAGGTTAAGTACTTTCCTCAAGGTCACATAGCCAATAAATGGTGCATTTGAACCAAATCTGCTAACCCAAGAGTTCAGACTCAGCTAATGCAATCACATATGATGTACTTGGAGGAGTCTTGCCATCCTTTGTCCCTGCCAGCAGCTGCCTGACGTCAGGGGCAGAGGTGGTGGGCCATGGGCCACCGTTCTCATGTTTACTCATTCCCCAGGTGCCTTAACCCCAGCTGCCCTTGAAGTCCCCACAATGCGGTCCCCACCAGCCACCTTCTCCCTGCTCCTGTTGCTGCTGGGCCAGGCCCCTCCAAGCAGGCCGCAGTCACTGGGCACCATGAAGCTACGGCTGGTGGGCCCAGCGAGCAAGCCAGAGGAGGGCCGCCTGGAGGTGCTACACCAGGGCAAGTGGGGCACCGTGTGTGATGATGACTTTGCCCTCCAGGAGGCCACAGTGGCCTGCCGCCAGCTGGGCTTTGAGGCCGCCTTGACCTGGGCCCACAGTGCTAAGTATGGCCAAGGAGAGGGTGAGTGACTGGTGCTGCCCAGGGTGCTGATAAAGAAATGGTGGCGGGTTTTTTGTTTTCTTCAGGGAATGTACTCACTAAGGTTCTCACAGAACGTATCAGACTCCCACCCATCCCTTAATACCCAGATCAAATGACCTCTATGTGTCATTTCTGAGTCCTCCAGCTGCAAATGATCCTTGCTCTGACCCTCCCACTCTCTTTTTTAAGGAGGTCACCAGCATCATCATCACTAAGCTCTAAGTTCCTTGAACATTGTAATTTGCACACAGTGTGTGCTTAGCAAATGTTGAATGAATGAATAAGCAAATAGGTAGGTCTAGTTACTAAGTGGGCATAGGCTAGCATTTTCCAAAAATGGGTTCTATAGTGCCTGATGCCAAAAAGAGGCTGTAGGCAGGGCTGTGGATACCAAGATCCCAGGAGAACCATTCCCCCACTTCCTACTCAGGATTTGGAAAAGGAAAGGTGACAAATGTGGGTCTTTTCTAGGAGACAGGGCCCATGAGCTGCCTCTCGTGGCTCATCCCTGAGCATCCATCTGCCCTTCATCCACAGGCCCCATCTGGCTGGACAATGTGCACTGTGTGGGCACAGAGAGCTCCCTGGATCAGTGTGGGTCTAATGGTTGGGGCGTCAATGACTGCAGCCACTCAGAGGATGTTGGGGTGGTGTGCCAACCCCGGCGCCAGCACGGCTATCTTTCTGGGAGCATCTCCAATGCCCTTGGGCCCCAGGTGAGGAGGCTATTTGGGGCCTGGGCAGAGCCTAAGGGTTGAAGGGCTGGACCAGGTGACTGGGAACTTCTTGGCTAGTGAGCCTAGGGGTAGGAAAAGGGAGCTGAGCCTGAGCTGAGAAGCATCCCTCAGGCCCAACTCCTGTCTGAGGCCTGAGGCCCTGATTTCAACTCAGGAGCAGGTGCCTGGATAGAGAGCCCTGGGCTGATTTGAGGCAGGCCAGAGACTTGGAGGCTGGGCCTGCTGGGAACCTCAGACACTGCTCCACGCAGAGGAGGGAGCAAGGGGGAAAGGGGCTGCCTCACACACCCACAAGGCCCAGCCACAATTGATGCCTCTTCCCAGCACAAACAACCCTGAGCTAAAAACAGCCCAAGCCAAACAACAGGAGAGCCAGTCTCCAGTTTCTTCACTCCTCTGCTAGGCAGCCTCCAGCCTGAGGACAGCTGGCCCAGACCACCGAACATGACAGGCCATCATGGGGGGCACCATACTGGTCTGAGTCACTCCAGGGCTAGGATCCTGCTGGGCATCTCAAGCAACTGGCCTGGTCCATCCTCAGCTCTTTCCAGGATGGCATGATGAAGACCACTCCTTGCCCAGTGAAAGTCTCCCAAACTGCCAAGGGCCCCTATTCTGGCCCCAGAAAGGGCACCAATCCTCCTACTTCTCAAGTTTTACATGTTTGGTGGCACTGAGGAGAGGGCCCTAGAAAACCCATGGTTCTGCTTGGTCCTGTGCCTTCCACATGTACCTCCTGCATCCTGGGCCTCAGTTTCCTAACCTGTCCAATGAGGGGATTGAGTGGGATGGTGTTTAAGGTCTCTGAGCAGTGGGGTCAGCAGGTGGGCAGGAGTCCTGCTGCCCATGAGTGACTGTGCACCCCACAGGGCCGGCGGCTGGAGGAGGTACGACTCAAGCCCATCCTTGCCAGTGCCAAGCGGCAGAACCCAGTGACTGAGGGGGCTGTGGAGGTGAAGTATGAGGGACACTGGCGGCAGGTGTGTTACCAGGGCTGGACCATGAACAACAGCAGAGTGGTGTGCGGGATGCTGGGCTTCCCCAGCCAACAGCCTGTTGATACCCACTACTATAGGTAGGAGGTCGGCTGAGCTGAGGGCCCAGGGAGTGGGGAGTGTGAGGGGGTGACAGCTGACTCTGTGTGTGTGTGTGTGTGTGTGTGTGTGTACATTTGACCTCACAGAATGCAGTGAAATTGCGGGGCTGGGTGTCAGTGGGTTTGGGTTTGGGGTTAGGAAGGAAACAGGCCCACCTGAGGAGTATGCCTGAATTTCCTGGATTTTGTGTCCCTCTGAATAATTAAGAGAGAGATCAACAACAAGGACCTGGGAAATCTCTAGAAACAACAGAAAATTTGTCAATCAAATTGACTGTGGTACAAAATACAAATTCCATCATGAAAATAATGGAATACACCACTTGGTGTCCCTGATTTAAAAACTAGGCTGTACTGAAGTTACTGATGGTGCTGCCCACATGCATAGACAAACTGAGTTCTGCTCTCAGCTCTGCTAGTAATGAGCTGTGGAGCCTTGGGTAGGGCGTTTCGTCCTTAGTTATCCATTCCTCAGAGAATTATCTCAACTTTGCCCCAGTGAATAATCTCAGCTCTAATACCAGAAAGGCTGTGGTTGGGTTGTGTACAGGCAAGGCATGGGGTGGGGTGGGTTAGGAGAGAGGAGACAAAAGTATTGTCAGAAACATGACAGAACTGTTGGAGGTAGATTGCATCATCCCTGTGAGACGAGCACAAGTGTACAGTGAAAACTCTGTAGGCTTCTCGCCAAGGGAGAAACCGCCCACAGTCCCATGTCCTTTATCCACCTCTAATCAGTTTTAGTTCCGCCTCCTTTAAAGGGTTGGAAATCTCTTACTGGTCTTTATGTCTCTGACTTCAGCCACCCTGGAAGAGGGGAATTGGGTGGCCATGTGGCAGCCACGTGGCTCCATCCTTGGGGAAGGCTGGGATGTGGGTCCTAGACTCCCCACTGCCTGCTAATTGCACATCTGTGTCTTTCTGACTCGCCCACCATCCACAGGAAGGCCACTGTGATTATAGCCTGGGTGTCTCTGGGGTGGGCAGCCCTGACAAGCAAGGTCTTCAGTGACCACCTGTCACTTCTCTCAGGGCTTCCCCTAAAGGGTCTCCTTCATCTGGACTGGAGGGAGGGCAAGCTCAGAGCTGCCCACCCCAGGGGACCTTGTTAAGTCTTGCTGTCTTTCCCGGTAAAATGGCAGTGGTTGTTCTCTGTGATGTGGTGACCCTCCTGGAGCTACTGTGAGGCTCAGCACTGAAATAAGATTTGTGGAAAAGTTACAGATTGTGAAGTCTGGTACAAACTTAGGGACACGAGGAGCCATGGTGTTGGGGGGTGGGCTTCTGCGCCCGTTCTATCCCCCACTTGCTTTCTCCCTCCGTAGGAAAGTCTGGAACTTGAAGATGAAGGATCCCAAGTCTAGGTGAGGAGCGGTCTCCTTGAGGGAGGGTGCTGAGGGACTCGACAGGAAGGACCTCCTTTCCCTTCCCTCACCTCAGCCTCGGCCTCCCCTCAATCCCCAGGATCTACCTTCAATTCTCCGCCCCCTCAAACCCCCCCCCCTTGTCTGTCAGGTTGAAGAGCCTCTCTAGGACCAATTCCTTCTGGGTCCACCGTGTCACCTGCCTGGGAACAGAGTCCCACATAGCCAGCTGCCAAGTGCAAATGTCTCCAGCCCGGGGCAAGCTGCAGCCAGCCTGCCCAGGAGGCATGCACGCTGCGGTCAGCTGTGTGGCAGGGCCCCTCTTCCGCCAGCCCAAGGCAAAGCCAAGGCGCAAGGATCCCAGGGCAGAGGTAAGCTCCATGGCCACACCTTGACCTAGAGACACAGGGGCTGGCTGAGGGGCTCTCAGGGCCGCAGGAGAGGAGGGAGGAGCCCCTCTGTCAAGGAGGCACCATTGGATCAGGCTGCGGAGAAGGAGAGGGAGGCACAGAATGGCAGAGCTGGGGGAGGTCCGGGGATTGACTTAAAAAGGGCAGTTTACAGCCCTCCCATAAACGGAAAACTGGTGTCACCTGCCAGGAATAGAAGGTAGCCATAAAAACAGTAATTAAATTGTAGCTACATCCTGTCTAGGGTGAAGGAATTGAACCTGAGCCTGGCCCTTTGTTATAAAAAGGAGGTGAGCTAGTGCTGTGAGGGGTTACAGACTGGCACTGTCTCCTCCATGGAGTAGAAGACATGAAAGAATTAAACCAGAAATAACTCCCCCACTTTGTGAATCCATTTAATACCATATCTCTGCTCCTCCCTGAGGTCAGTTCACAGAATTGGGAACTGTTGACTTAGTTCAGCCCCCAGAAACTCAAAACTCAACGCCATCAAGTCAATTCCGACTCATAGTGATCCCCACTGAGTTTCCAAGTCTGTAATTCTTTACGGAAGCAGACTGTCTCATCTTTCTTCTGCATAGTGGCTGGTAGGTTCGAACCACCGACTTTTTGGTTAGCAGCCAAATGCCTTAACCACTATATCACCAGAGCTCCCAAGGGACAAAAAAAGAAGTCACGGCTCAGAGAGAGGACGGAACCTGCCCAGGTGGCAGAGTTGTGACTCTGAACCAGGGCTCCTGACACCTATGGCTCTCTCGTTAGAGCTGAGATTGTTATTGCTGTTATTATTGGAGTGGTTATTATTAAAGTAGCCCTCCACTTTGCCCCTGAAGAAATGGAGGCTGAAGACCTATTCAAGGTGATAGCTAGGGAAAGCCAGAGGTAGGACTAGAACTCAGACCTCCAGCTCCCAGTCCTTGGCTCTGACCATTCACTGCCTACTTGAAGCTCAGCTCAGCTTGAAGGAGTCTTGCCCTGGGCCCCTGTGGTGGCCCAGCCTCTGCCGGCTGCCTCCTTGGCCCCCCTGAAGCCTTTTTCTCCCAGCAGGAGCCGAGGGTGCGCCTCCGCTCTGGGGCTCAGGTGGGCGAAGGCCGGGTGGAAGTGCTCATGCACCGTCAGTGGGGCACTGTCTGCGACCACGGGTGGAAGCTCAGCTCTGCCAGCGTCGTGTGTCGTCAGCTCGGCTTTGGCTCTGCTCGGGAGGCCCTCTTTGGGGCCCGGCTGGGCCAAGGTGAGTTCTGGGGCGTGGGGTGAGGTGGGAAGGCCTGGATAAGCAACAGGTCCATTCCTTGGTGGCCCTGACATGCCAGGCCCAGGAGAGAATGTTCTCCTACCCTGCGGAGAGGAAGCTACAGGTACAGGGTTGCAGAAACACAGCCTCACATGCACCTCTCTCCCCTGTAGGGCTGGGACCCATCCATCTGAGTGAGGTGCACTGCAGCGGGTATGAGCAGACCCTCAGTGACTGCCAAGCCCTGGAAGGGTCCCAGAATGGTTGTCAACACGAGAATGACGCTGCCGTCAGGTGCAACGTCCCTAACATGGGTTTCCAGAATCAGGTGAGCTCAGGGCTGCCTCAGGCTGGGGCTGGGAGAGCAGGATCCCTTTGATATCCCAGGCTACCACCTTGGGCCAGTGGGGAGGGGCCCAGGAGAGGTAGCTAGTGCTTCTGCCGTGAGCCCAGTTGGCCTTCCCTTGCAACCAGCATGGAAACCTAACCTCTTCTTTCCTGTCCCACCTGGTCTTGCCTGCGTCCCTGAGGCCAGGTGGGACTTGAGAGATGTCAGGAGGCCACAGGGGCTCTTCAAGAGGACATGCTCTTCTACCACAGCTTCTCAGGTCACCTGTGAAACTGAGATAGAAGGTGCCAAGTAGACCTGGGGAGTGGCAGTAGAGGCCAGATGGGTGATAGTTCTAGTCTCAGTGCCCACATGGAACTGGGCAAATTGCCTTATGTCTCTGAGCTTGGGTCTTCTGTGAAATGGGGTTCATGGTCTCATGAGTCATTGTGAATGAGGGAGTAGATATCAAAAGCCCTTTGCAGACCGTGAGTCATTCATGGTGGGATTGCAGACCATGTAGAAGGAGGACAGGCACTAGACCAGGAGCCCCTGGTACAGGCTCTGTGAGTGGGATTTCTCTAGCAGACAAGGCCCTTAGAGACCATCTAATAAAATGCCCTTGCTTTACAGAGGAAGCTAACCTGGAGAAGGGGACAGTCATGTCTGGGCTGCATAGAGAGTGATCCTGGGAGTATCTCCAGGCTCACAGGGCCAAGTTCTCCCTCCTAAGGCCCCTGCCCCTCACACACCTCTGATCACTGCAGGTGCGCTTGGCTGGCGGACGCAATCCCGAGGAGGGTGTGGTGGAGGTGCAGGTGGAGGTGAACGGGATCCGACGCTGGGGGGCCGTGTGCAGTGACCACTGGGAGCTCACTGAAGCCATGGTGGTCTGTCGACAGCTCGGTCTGGGTTTTGCCAATCATGCTATCAAGGTAGGTCCCTGTCTCATTCCTTCCCTAGAACCCCTCAGTCTCCTAGACTGAGGACCAAAACTTCCTGTGCCAAGGTGGCCTGGGCACAGAAAAAGCAGCCATCCTTTAGTTCATTCAGGGTCCAATTGATTATTGAAACTATGAGCCAGATGTAATGCTAAGTGCTGGGAGACTGTGGAGAACATAAGAATACAGTCCTTGCCTCATGGAACACACAGTCAAGTGAGGGAGGCAGTGATTAATAACATATTCACCCAATTCACTTCATAGTTGTGTACAAAGAAAGGATGACTAGAAGTTAGCCAACAAAGTGGGGGAGGAATAAAGAGCCCATGCAAAGGCCCTGTGGCCAGTGAAAAGTTAATTCAGTTGAGGAAATAAGGGACCAGGGGTTGGAGTGTGACTATCAAGGGGGAAAGTGGTATAAGAAGTGAGGGTGGAGAAGGCAGGGGCCAGCATATGCAAAGCCTGCAATCCAGATTTTTAAAAAGATTTTTTTCCTTTTGGAAAATGATGGGGGTGGAAACAAACGTGGATACAGGGAAACACACTCAGGAGGCTACTACAGGCCAGGTGAGGAATGATGTTGGCTTGGACCAGGCTAATGGCGGTTCAGATGGAAATAAGTGGGTGGAGTCAAAAGATATTAGAGCAACACAATCAAGAGGACTTGGGCACAAAGCAATGGATGGCCACCTGCAGCTGCACCCACACCAACGGGTCGGGCAATGCCTGGGCAGCCTCACCTGCGGAGCCAGGTCCAACCCTGAGCACAGTGACAGCGCGGGCCACATGAGGAACAGCTGGGAAAAGGGGAATATGACTGGGTGTGAAAGGAGGGAACCAGGCGCTCCTCTTGAAATAGTTGAGAGCTGCCACGTGGGAGAAGGAGGAGAGTGGACCAGTGGTGGAAGCCAAAGGCAGCTGGATTTTTGCCTCAACACATAGAAGAAATGTCTAGTCCTCAGAGGGGTCCAAATATGGAATGGACTGCCCCAGAGGGTAGGAGGTTCCCATAACTAAAGAGCTCCAGGCTGAGATTGGAAGGGGCCTGGTGGGGATGGCATGTGGGTTCCGAGCTCATGCGAGAGAGTAAGGAGATGACTCCTAAGGCCCTCTCAGCCCTGACAGGGTGATGCTGTGTTTCCTCAGGACACCTGGTACTGGCAGGGCACACCGGGGGCTGGAGATGTGGTGCTGAGTGGGGTGCACTGCTCTGGGACAGAGCTGGCCCTGCAGCAGTGCCAGAGGCACGGGCCGGTGCACTGCTCCCACGGCACAGGGCGCTTCTCGGCCGGAGTCTCCTGCACCAACAGTGAGTACCAGGAGGGGCCCCATGTTGGCATGGCCACTCCTCCCTCCCTCAGCGGGGCCCTGAGTGCTGGCCCAGCTCCATGGCCAAAAGGAGGGACAGGGACAGAGGCCTGGTCTGGGAGCACCAGCTCTGCTCGTTCCTAGCTTCATGTGGCCAAGTCACTAGTCTCAGGACACAAGCCCTGCTCTGCCTACGTCATGGAGTAATTGTGAGAATTAAAAGAGAGCATGTGAAAATACAAAGTTTTAGACCATTGCTTCAACTTTGGGTCATGATCAATAGTTAAAAAAACAGAAGAGGAACATCAGAGTGTGTTACATCACATTGAGTAAGGGTATTTTTTTCTGGGAACTGTGTTAACCGAAAGGTCAGCTGTTCGAACCTACCAGCCACTCCATGGGAGACAGATATGCAGTGTGTTTCTGTAAAGATGTGCAGCCTTGGAAACCATATGGGGGCAGTTCTACTCTGCCCTATAGGGCCGCTGTGAGTCAGAATCCATGGCAGTGGGTTTGTGTATGAGTGTACCAGGGTGCAATGTCAAATCCATTTATTACTGTAGATTATAGTAAAAACAAAAAAGTTTGAGCACTACTGCTGTAGAGGGTCTGGAAACGTGAGGGGCACGTGGGGTCAGGGTGCAGCTGTGTGTCCCCCTCCTGGGCTGCGTGACTTACCCAAAAGGCTCTGGGAAAAGACCACCTCGAGGTGTCACTGTGCCCCACAAACACAGACTCTCAGGGCAGCAGCATGTCTGACATGTACCAACCAGGTCCATGCCAAGGTAACTGTGTTCACCCAGTGGCTGCAGACTGACATCACCCGAGCGGCTACATGCCCTTCTTTGCAGCCTAACTTCAGTCCTGAGCCATCCTTACCCTCTGTGCATGAGCTTAGGGCCTTCCCTCTGTCCAGTCCACGAGGGAGGAAGAACAGGCCTTTACATCCCATCCTCCCCTGCAGGGTGACGGATATCCGAGTAGTCTCCCTAGTGGCCAGCCTCACAGCAAGCTCCCCTACTCTGTTGCCTGAGCAATAGCTCCTCCAACGCATTTGATACTTGACAACGGCCAAGTGCAGCCAGCGACCTGCCGCCTCTGCGGCCACCACCATGTCTCCTCTGTGGTGGTTCTCATTTCTTTCCTTCACTCTCTTTTCTCGCTCTCTCTGCAAGCTTTCCTTTGTCCCTTCCAGAACTCTAGGTTTGTCTGTGAACAAATACCAACTCTCTGCAAAATATACCATGGGAAGCCCAAGAGCTTTTCTGGTGACAGTGCAGGCATCACACAGCCAGCCCAGCCCCACAGCCACCCTCAGTGCCTAGCCACTGAAATACACCAGCACTCCCACCTCACCTTGATCAGCATGCAGGCTCACCCACGTGATGTCAATGCTGGAGAATCCACGCGGTAACCACAAAGGAGCCCTGTGCGTGGCAGCTTCTCTCTTCTGGTGTGACAGGGCAGTGGCTGTGGGGCTACAGAATCCTACCCTGACACATGGGAGGCGGTGATGGTAGCAATGGTGGAGAAGGCACGTGGCTGCAGTGGAGGGTAGGAGTCTTATGACAGGAACAGAAAGGGAGAGGCCTTAGGAGAGAAAGGGACAGGACACCTCTGGTATGAGTGCCCCTGCCTGGAGCAGTCCAGCTAGAATTAGGAAGCTTGGAGGGAGTGCAGCCCTGGGAAGTCCAGCAGAATGGACTTAGAACGTCAGAGCGCGCGAGCAGGCTTGGCGACAAACTCCCCATCTCTCCCTCCCACTGGTCCCATCCTCTAGAACTAAGGCCTAGAGAAAGAGAATGGCATGGCTAAGGTAACCAAGCTGGGTATCAGCAGAGCTTATTGAAGGTGTTGTAATGGCTGCTTTTTTGGAAGTAGAGCACCAGGGACTTCTTTCGAGGCACCTCTGAGTGGACTTGACCTCCAGCCTTTCAGTTAGCAACCAAGTGAGTTCACTGTGTGCACACCCAGGGACTCCTTAAGGTGGTAACGGTTCCTTTCATTATAGTTCCCATCTCCTGACTCCTAAGCTGCCCTGATTTTCTGAGATCCTCCCAAAGAGCTGAGTCTGGGCCTATGGCTGACTGCCATGCCAGAGCAGGAAGGACTGCCTCTCTGCCTCTGCCCCACCACCATGCCCCAATGCCATCCACAGGTGCTCCAGACCTAGTGATGAACGCCCAACTGGTCCAGGAGACGGCCTACTTGGAGGACCGCCCGCTCAGCCAGCTGTACTGCGCTCACGAGGAGAACTGCCTCTCCAAGTCTGCCGACCTCATGGACTGGCCCTACGGACACCGACGCCTGCTGCGCTTCTCCTCACAGATCTACAACCTGGGCCGGGCCGACTTTCGCCCCAAGACAGGCCGCCACAGCTGGATCTGGCACCAGTGTCACATGTTAGTGCCTGCCCTAGAAGGTTAGGGACAAAAAGCAAGGCCCAAGAAACAGTAAGATTAGTCCACTCATCTTAGGTTTGCGATAGAGATGGGCACTGCCCTTTACCTGGCCACAGGCAAACTTCCTTGAGGGATGTGGGCTCTAGCAAGTCTGCCTTTCTAGATGCCTGATTGGCCTTGGCTCTAGGAGGCACTAAGGGAATCCCTGTAGCATCAGCCTGCCATCTCCATCCCTCTCTCATCTCCCTGGATGTGCCCATGATGTGCTCATGGGGTCCAAGAGAGAAGTCATAGCCAGCAGAGTCAGTCTTTGCTTGAATGGGATTTGACAGTATTTCTGTGTTGGACCTTGGGCCATCCATGTCTTTAGAAGCCAGGTAAAGGAGGGACTCCTGTATGCTGGCTCTGCAGACAGACTGGCTGGTTCTAGCAGCAGCAAGGTGAGACCCCCAAAGAGCAGCGTGAACAGACTGGTACTAAAAAGGAGACAACGAGCATTCTTTCCTATCAGGAGCCTCCAGCCCAGACGGAGGGAGACAATGCCTGTGACAAAGGCGGAATGGAAAATACATTTTTTTTTTTTCTTTCCTTCAGGTCACAGCAGTGGGTGGGGAAAGCTGAGAGGACTCGGCATTGCCTGGGATAATAAGCACCTTTGTCTGTAGCATGAACAGAGTTGTCATTACAACTGGACTGGGAACAATGGCAGCAGTTTGATCCCAGGCAGATTGACAGGGGGCAGCGTGAGCTCCCCTCCCCAGCAGCTCAGCTCTTAGGCTGGTCCCTGGACCAAGTGCCCCTTCCTTCCTCCTCCAGTTTGGGCCTTGTACCCAAGCACCTGTCAGTCTCCTGGAGGCTACCAGGGCAGAGCGTGTATCTACCCTAACCTGGGAAAGACACCAGCTGATGGGGGCAGCTGTGCCTTGGTGCCTGCCAGGGGTGCCAGGAAATAGGCTGTGGGCCACACTAATCTTAGGTTTGGGACAAAGATGGGCACTGCCCTGCTATTATGACTTTCCTCTCTGGGTAATGACGGGGCCCAGTGCCTCAGTCTCCTGCCAGCTCCTCCACTGAGGACCCTGTCGTGTTGCTGCCGGGTCCACAGCCTCTCCCCTCCTGCAGGCACTACCACAGCATCGAGGTCTTCACCCACTATGACCTACTCACTCTCAATGGCTCTAAGGTGGCTGAGGGACACAAGGCCAGCTTCTGTCTAGAGGACACGAATTGTCCCACAGGTATGTAGTTTCCTGTCAGCAAGTCTATGAGAGGAATCCTACCTCTCAGATTATATTCCTTAGCCCCCTTCAGCTCAGACCCCCTCTGCCCTGCTCAACAGCCCCCAAAACTGGAAGACTTTGGCTTGGAAACAGTCCTCAAATAATTTAAAAAGATCCATTTCTTACTTCCTGAAATATTAGGTGGAAGGTCTCTACTTCTACATCTTGGCTAATTGTTGTAGACATGTTAAATTCATCTCCCCTAAATTCTTTGAGGACATGGATTGTTGGATTCATATTTACATCCTCACAGTTCCCAGCCTTTGGAAATGGCATGGTGAACACTGGATCTTTAGGTTGGATGGGTGGGTGGATGGATGGGTGGATGGATGGATGGATGGATGGGTGGGTGGATGGATGGGTGGATGGATGGATGGGTGGGTGGATGGATGGATGGGTGGATGGATGGGTGGGTGGATGGATGG